ATCATCTCAGAGATAATGGTATCAAGAACATTTTAAACAAGTTTCAACTTGGTTTCAAGTAGATCATACCTGTTTAACCATCGACAAGGTAAATCCACAACTTTGTCCAAATTCGGCGCCATTTTGTCATCCCATGTCGCTTGTTAACAATTCAGCCTTGTTACTCTTCCATCCAAGCCATTTTCATTCCACTAATAATAAATTTAACCCTTTATAACAGGAGGAAACTAAAAAATCTAAACAAAATATAAGAAATACGCCATTTTATCACCCTGTAAAATTTTGTTTACGAGTCCTTCAAAACATTTCGTACAAATCTCGCGTGGTTTAGCAACAGGGACGTGACAGGGGGGGTGAGACTTGAAAAATGAAAGGAAAGCCCACACAGTATGCATCCTCGTCCCCAGGCCCAAGCTCGGGCGGCCCTCACTGTGAGGGCCGCCCGAGCTTGGGCCTGGGGACGAGGATGACACAGTATGGTAAAACCAACAATTAACATTTAATTTGTATGACTTTTTCATATTAATAAATAATAATATGTATATATTTGTCGCTACAAGAAATAAAACAAACATTTGTATGATTGTATTTAGCTTTTAGTCTATTTCACGCAGCCTTCTTCTATCTTCGTGAAATAATTTACCCCCTCCTGTCACGTCCCTGTTACTGTGTCACGCGATATTTGTACGGAATGTTTTGAAAGACTCGTGAGCAAAATTTTACATGGTGATAAAATGGCGTATTTCTTATATTTTGTTTAGATTTTTTAGTTTCCTCCTGTTATAAAGGGTTAAATTTATTGTTGGTGGAATGGAAATGCCTTGGATGGAAGAGTAATAAGGCTAAATTGTTAACAAGCGACATGGGATGACAAAATGGCGCCGAATTTGGACAAAGTTGTAGATTTACCTTGTCGATGGTTAAACAGGTATGATCTACTTGAAACCAAGTTGAAACTTGTTTAAAATGTTCTTGATACCATTATGTCTGAGATGATTTACATTTTTTGTAGGATGTCGACGAGATCGCCGATAAACAGCGGAGTAAAGTGGAGAACTTGGCCAAATGCGTCCATTTGCAGGAGGTAGGCACATTTCGAATTGTTATTTCGGTCAGAAAATATTAACTATTTTACACCAAACCAGTGATAATATATTTAAATAAGTACCATTTATGTTTCTAACAACATAAAACGCTCTCTGAGTTTCCAGCGATATACATACCCTTTTCTAGATATATACCTAATAATAATAAACGAACGAACGAATGTATTCCTTCCACTCATATTGTTTATGCTAATAATAATTTTGTAGGTGGCTAACAAGAGGCATTCACTTTGAACGTTCGTTCATGCGCAGTTTGTGTGTGTGTATTCTTTCCTTTTAAGTGCCCATCCAGGGTCACAAGGCCTGGACATTTACTATATGTGACAATGGTAAATGAGCTCACGAGTGGAAGGAATACATTCGTTCGTTCGTTTATTATTATTAGGTATATATCTAGAAAAGGGTATGTATATCGCTGGAAACTCAGAGAGCGTTTTATGTTGTTATTTTATTTCCTGAGTACGGGTCTTCGACCAATTTCATATTGTTATTTATGTTTCTATCAAAAAGATTTAGGGAAAAAGGTAATGTAAGTCCACTGCTGTTTATCTGAATTTGCAAGCCACAAATTGACGTTTAACTATGATTATTGCATGGCCATTTTCTTGTGAAATATTAGTGCTAGGCATTTCACACTTACCAATGACCACCCCCAAAAGTACCATCTCTGAACCATATAAGCACCTCAGAATAGGCAAAGCTTTTATGGTTTGGTAGATAGCAGTATGGCGAAAGCGTCGTTTTTGGGTGTGGTCGGTTTCGGATGTTTCGCCCCGGATTGGGGTTCGGGCAGCGTTACCATGTTGCCGTCATGGTCAACTTACCCTAAAACAGTTGAGATTATCTGTCCTAAATGAAATGCATACAAACTCATATACAGGTCCTAGACTAATATGCCAAGTCTGGGCTATTTTGGTCTCAATGTCTCCGTCCTTCCCTCGTTATAAGGAAGGCACAGGCGGGCGCGGGCAAATTGAGCCTGGGCCTCCTGTGCATAGACTTCATAATGGCCGCCGCCAAAACATCGATCTCGAACCCACCTCCTAAACATACGTCAGCAGGTGGGTTCGAGATTGAACGTACCACCTCGTAGCCAATAGGAAAGCCGCTAATACGCTTTAATATGAGATAATTTTTTATACACCCTTTTTTGTTCATAATGTAATTGTTAAATTTTCTAATGTCCTTCTATGACATGCTTGGCTTTACTTTCATAGGAAGTGTTACACAACTATTGACGAAATGGATTCTGCCAAAAAATTTAAAGCAGCCATAAATCGATCGTTCAACGAGCACGGCGGAATTTTCTGGCAGGGGGTCAACGATGAACAACTAAGTTTATATGTCATGTCGGTAGTTCGTGAGTTTGCCACAAATAACCCGAGAGAACTCACCGGGAGTTTTACACTTGGCCGTCAAAGAAACCTTGAAAAGGTTGACCAATTTGGCGAATACCTTGAGGAAATACCGGGTTGGTATGACGAGGAGGATGTAGCATAATATTCAAAGCTCGAATCACGGTCTACACTTTTTTTTGCAGTGATTTTAGAAGTATATAAGACCGCAAGCGATAAAAATATAGATTAAAAGGCTTGTCCAATTACGTTTTCCACTAGTATGCAGCAAATCATATGAAATCAGCTATGCTTTAAAATTCGCCACGGTCTACACACAAAAATCGTATTTTCATGAATACTAATGAGCTACGATCTATTATATTCAAAGAACTACTTTATTATGTAGACCGTGGTAACTTCTTATTCCTTTACTGCCTAGGTTATGAAAGCATTCTAATAACAAGTATAATATGTAGGTAGTTCCGCAAGAAGAAATCGTTACGTTTCAATTCACCAATTGTATGTAATTCAAGTCCGAAGTTACTGTAGACCGTGCTAGTCGGCGCACAGTATTGAAAAGTGTAAGGCAATATTTCATTGTTTGACAAACAATTGTAATATAATATTTACAAATTTAAGTGCATTGTATGTATTTAATGGCTGTAGTTGTATCGAATTTGCGTAACAGTTTATGATAGACACTTATCTTTGGAAATGCTAAGAATCTTCAATGTCAAATTATATTGCCTTCCAAATGGCTAAAAAGGTTAACATGATTATTTCATTTTGATTACTGAAGCTTTTCCTGTTTGATATTGCGAGGTTCTTGTCATTGGCACGTAGTATATTATAGGCTATGTATAAAAATATAGGCTGTTCAAAACTAGAAGAGTCGTTAATATCACTAAATGTGCAAAAATACAATAATTTATTCCAAGGAATAAGGTAATTGCTGCATTTCTTGAGACGTTCTGGAATCATACTG